AATCCCGTTATTTCAAATTTTATATGGAATTTTTTAATGCTTAAAAATTCTTCAAGTAAAAAAATATTTTTTGAAGACTGTTTTTCTCTTTTTAACTTGGAAAAAATAAGCGATATTTATTACAAAAAAACGATTCCCAAAAATAATAAACAAAATAAATGCAAAAAATCGGGACACCTCAGTACCGACTTTTGAAAAACAGTTTATAATTATAATTTAATATTTTTATTAAACAAAACAAAAAAACACAAGTAATTTTTTTAAAACTAATACTCTAATTAAAATACCATAACAAAACCATAACTAAAGTTGCACATTTTTTTGATTGGTTTTTAAGGTTGCACTTTCCAACAGTCTGTTGTTGACCTAAATTTTGAAGCAAAAGAGTCTTTAATCCACATGAGGTAGCTTGTCCCAATATTTTCATTTTTATAAATGAGATGTTTATCATTTGCTCCATCCACATTAAAAAATGTTTAATTTGTTCTGTATGACTTTTGGAATTTTTTGTTTTCAATGCTTTTTATTTTAACAAGCAGTTGAAACCTTTCATTTGAATAACGAGTTATATTTTATGTTATTTATTACACAATTTAACTTTTTGTTATTGTTTTTGGTATTGTTCAAAAAAAGTTTTTATTTGTTGTGTAGAAAAACAAAGAAAATATAAAGTTGCATACTTGTTTAGAATGACTTTACTAAAATAGCTTACTCCAATTAAAAACTTTTTCAAACAACACAATAATAATGGTAGTTACTTACTCTTTGTAGTCATAATTCACAACCACGTTGCACAACTTCATATTTTTTGAATATAACTTCATGGCAGGTTTTTCAGGGTGCCATCCGATGTAATGAATTTTGTCTTTATCATATTCGTCGTAATTAGGTTGGTTGTCGATGTTGTACCACCACAATTGGACACTTTCGGGATTTTTGAGGGTAAAGCCATAGAAACTAGCTATGTCGCTGTACGAAGTTAACAAGCCATAATTAATTCCAAGAGCATTTGCTTTGTCAAGTAAAGATGTTAACTCCTCAACATCTGTTTTTAAACTGTGAGTTACAAAGACTTCGAGACTAATCCAAAGTTTGTTGAACTTCATGTTGTTGCTTTTGACCAAATTCCAAAAGTCGTTGAGCTGCACGTCGAGGTTCCCACAACCAAAACAAGGCTCAAAGTACATATCTATTTGACTCTGTGTGTACCCCGCAGTGTACGCATTTTTTAAATTCTGAACGGCGTTTGCATCAAAAACATTATATATCTCTTCCCAACCACGGATGATTACCATGTCACCAAAACCACTGCTTTTGAAGCAAGACAGACTCGAGACAGATACAGCATCTGAATAGTCAACACCATAATACCCAGCACTCACAAGTGTACTCAAGAATAAAAGTAACATTACAATAAGTTAGTTTAAAATAGTTTATATTTTTGGATACAAGAAAAATTAAATGCATTCGAATTTTTATAATTGATATTTTTATAAAAGAAGTAAAGAGAATCAATTTTATACCAAATTTTATTTTTCATTGTTTCAACAAGTCATGTATTTTTTAATAATAATTTTATGAAATAAAAACAATTTAATTTTGTAGTAAAAACTTAATTTATTTATATCAAATGGTTTATGTTGGAAAAACATGGTAATTGTCTCTGTTATACAAAATTATCTATTATTCTTTGAAAAAAGCGATTTTTACAATAACATTTCAAAAAATTTAAAACATTGTACTTATCATATATTAATATTATTAATATTATTAACTATTAATATTAATAATATTAATAATATTAATAATATTAATAATATTAATACTAATAATAATAATATTATTATTATTAATATTATTAATATATATAATTAATAGTAATAGTTTTGATAATTTATTATATATATAGATTACTCAAAATAAAATAAAAACAAAATAATTTATTTTTATTGTTTTTTGTTGTTATATTAACAGTCTCATATATTTCAAATGTTTTGTTTTGACTACCTTTCTAAACGATATTAATAAATCTAATTAAAAAATAATTATTTACAAAATTAATGAAGAAATCGTTTTTGTTTATATAAATAAAACAATCACAAACAATGTTAAAAAATAAAAATTGTTAAACAAATCGAATTAAATTTGTTTTTTAGATGATAATTAATTGTCATCCAAATTGTCATTTTCATCACTATCATCTAACTGTTGATCGTTAAATTCTTCGTTATTGTAATTTTCGTAATTATATTCCTCATCTTCGTCATCTTGCGGTTCATTTTCATCACCTGGAAGTGTCTCGTAACATTCTTCGGGTGCTTCAATTTGTTTATTCAACTTGTCGCAGTTGCTAAAACAACAAAATCTGAATGTTGTAACATTTCCTTCTATTTTTACAATTTCCAAATTTGTGCACCCCGCAAAACAAAATTCAGGAATGTTATCAATACTTTTTGAAATGACAATTTCTTTCAAATTTCCACATTTATAAAATGCATAAATACCAATGTCGGTGATTTGTTCTGGAATTACAATTTTTGTCACTTCAGTGTTGTTATAAAAAGCTCCTTCATCAATACGGCGAATAAATTTGTTTGTTTTCATTTCGTTTAACATTTTGGTTGTTCCATATAGAAGAACATCACTTCTTTTTATAACTACATTTTCACAACAAATGTTGAGCTTTTTCATGTGAACAGAAAACGAATAACTAACCTCAAATTGGTATTTTGTATAATCCTGTCCAAATTCAAAAATTCTTAAAGACTCGCATCCCTCAAATAAGTCACATTTCCCTAAGATATTTGTATTTTTACTTACAACTTTTTCTAAATTTTTGCAATCATAGAAAGCGCCATCTCCAAGACACAATACATTTTCTGGTATTTCGAAAGTGGTAAGTGAAAGGCATTTTCTAAACGCAAAAGCACCAATTTTAGTAACACTTTTTGGAATGTCAATTTTAGAAAGTGAAAAACATTTGTAAAATGCAAATTCACAAATTTCTTCACATTTTTCAATTAAAAAGATTTTTTCAAGTGATTTGCATTCAAAGAACATTGCAGTTGCAATATGTCTAATTATGGGGACTTTTTTAAGTGAAACACATTTCATAAAGCAACTTCTTCCATATATAACATTTTCGTTTTCGCAAATAACTTTTTCAAGACGTGAACAGCCTTTAAAAGCACCTTCTCCCACTTTTTGAAGACTGTTTGGTAAAGAAATTTCTTCGAGAGAAACACACTCACTGAACGCAAATTTTTTAATTTCTTTAAGATTTTTAGAAAAGACCAATTGAGTTAAATAATAACATTTTGAAAATGCTTCTCTGCTTATAATTTCAATATTTGGTATTTCAACAAATGTTATTTTCATGTTTTGACAACTTTCATTGACTATTTCTGTGATTTCTTTTGGAAAAACGAGCGACTCGGACTTTATATTCAGATCACTGTATTTAGCGACAAATTTTGGAATATAATCAAATACGGTATTATTAAATGCTTTTGTTTGTTCATATTTTGTCACAATTTTACTATCAAAAACATTACCAAAACGTTCATAATCATCAATATTAAATTCGATATTATCAAAATGATACCCAAAATTCAAAAGTCTTAAATGACACGCGTAGTTTACAACATATTTATCAAATTCTTCTTTTGTGTTGTTACCAATGTCAATTTTGGTCATTTTGTTGTCATTGTCAGAAAAGATGTGTTTCCCAATTTTCTTTATATTTCCTGGTAAAGACAATTCAACTAAATTTGGTTCACCTGAAAACATGTAATTGTCTATTTTTGTTACCGAATTTGGAACAACTATTTTAGTCAAACTTTCTTCAAAATTTAACGAATTTGTTAATTCATCAAGCCAAATTGGAATTTCTGTTATATCTTCTGAAAAAAGTTGATTTTTCTCAATGACACGTGAAATGTCCAAAATTGAATTGTTTTCAAATTTTATTGAAGAAAGTGAAGAACACGCAACAACAAAATTTTCTGTTATTTTAGTGACAGACGATGGAATAACAATTTCTTCTAAATTGCCACATTCACAAAATGCACAATCTTCTATTTCTGTTATTCCATTACAAATTTCAATTGATTTGAAATTACAATAATTAAAAGTCTTTTTACCAATTTTTGTTGTGCTTTTTGCAAATGCTATTTTATTAAATCTGTTAATTGTTATGGCTTCTTTACAAATTGTTGTTGAATATTTTGGCATAACGAAATATTTTAAGTTGTTACTATTAACACAATCTTTGTTACATAAAGCTACAGTGGATGGTATAAAAAGAGATGAAATTGGTACATTTAATCCTCTATCTTCTATTTGTTCAAGAGTAGTTCCCAAATCCAAATTTTTAATCAAAAAATTGTCGTAATTATAAATACTTGTAATTTTATTAAAATCAATTTGTTCTTCAGGACCGACATTTCTATCATTACACAAACACAATTCAACAGAATCGTTGTCAACGTTTTTGTACGTTTTGGAATACATTTCAAACTCCTCTTTTGTCATTTGCATCATTCCATGTTGACATTTGTGTTCTAAATTTGGAATTTCAATTTTAGTCAATTTGTTACAACAATTAAACGCACCTAAACCAATTAAAGTGTTTTTGTTTTTAACATAAATTTCCTCCAGATTGGAACAAAAGAAAAACGCACATTTACCAACATAATTCACTTTTTCTTTTAAAACTATTTCTTTAAAATTAAAACACCACTCAAAAGCTTGATCTCCAATGAACTCCAAATTTTCTGAAAAGTTCAAATCTTGAAGTTTTTCACATCTCGAAAATGCCTCATTACCAATTGAAACCAAATTATCGTCTATTTCTATTTTTATCAGATTATCACAATCTTTACAAAGTCCATTTGGTATTCGTTTTTGTCCTTTAAGTGAAATAAAAGAAAGCATCATGCAACCATTGAAACATTCACTTTTTAATTCACAATTTTCAGGAATAGTAATTTCTTTTATGTGACAACTTATAAAAGCCCCCTCACCAATACACTGAAGACTTTTTGGCAAATCAATTTTTGTTAATTTACAAAAATAAAAACACTCATTTGGGATCACTTTCAGTGTTTCAGGTAAAACCATTTCTTTCAAATTACCACAAGAACTAAAAGCGTTATTTCCTATATAACGAATAGTGTCAGGAAGTTCGATACTTTCAAATGTACAATCCTCAAAAGCAGACTCATAAAGTTCGGTAACATTTTTAGGAATTATAATTGTTTTAATTGAATCATTTTTTTCTTCATCTTGATCATCATCAAAATCATCATCTTCTTTTGAAAAGGCTTTTGAAGAAATTGAATTGACTTCTTTTGGTATTAAAACGCCATAATTGTCCACGTCCTCTTTTGTGTATGTGACACTTTTGTAGATTTCATATTGACTCGACTTTTTCTTGTATTCGGAATACGAGACTCGATATAAATAAACGTGGAGATTCAGTCCAGGAAGTGAGTAATCAAAAGGAGTGTAAAATACTTGAGTCTCAATGCATTGAAACAATTTCTTGTTATCCAGAGATAAGGCAATTGGATTTTCTCGAAAGCGGTCTAGAACATATCGAAACTTTTTACAAATTTGAATGATATTGAGGAAGTCCGAGTTCGTTTGTAAGTATTTTGCAATAATTTGTATTGAGAAGACATCAACTTTCTTCATCTTCGATTTGTGTGGCGATAAAAAGATTTAAATATGTGATATAATTCTGCATTGAGTCATTTAATAACAACAAAACAATTAAAATATATCAATATTATTTAATATATTTGATAATTTACAAAAAATCAAAAAATGAACTTTTTCTATTTTTGAATATTATCGAAAATATTATTATATTTTATATTAACTTGTATTATTTTGTATCTATTAATAATTATTTTCATTAAACAGTGAAATAAAGATAAGTTTTTTTACCTTTGCCAAATAATGAAAAGTTAATAATTTATTATTATTAATATTAAAAATGGGTGTTGTTTGACTTCGTTAAAATAACATAAATAAACATCACTTTATTTTTTTTCATTATTTTCAAAATAATATGTTTAGTCATCTGTGCAACAAATAATAGAGTTTAAAAAATAGATTACCACAAATAGATTTTTTCCTTGTATTTTAAAGAGCTTACTCAAAAACGATTTTTTGAGTAAAACATCATTTTCAAAATTTTATTAAATGTTTTTTTTTTCAATTCAGCTGTTATTTGACAAGCTGTATTTTTTATTGTTTCAATTTATATAAAAAAAAAATACAATTACTTTAATTCCATAAAGAGACACAATGACTTCAACAAGTGTACCTATATGGTCCGACGAACAGAAAGACATACTTAATTTGTTTTAAATGGTAACAAACGAACAACAGAAACCAACAATTGGGCGCAACTCAACATTGATTAACACAGAAACAAAACCAAAGAAAAGGGAAAGCCAAAAAACAGTGTACAAAAACAATAATCAAAACAAAAAACTAAAACAAAAATTTAATCTTACAACAAACAAAAAGAATTCGTATGTCTCGAATATTCTTTCGATTTGAGTACACAATTATTATTCGATACTGTTGGTGGGAATAATGAAAAAAATGTAACTTGATGAAAAGACCATTGTAACAACTGAAATGAGTTGATTGATATCAAGTGAATTTCAGTCAATAAAACCAACAAAAACCAATTTGGTGAACATTTTCGACAAAAATAAGGTTGTGTTGTTTAATGAAATAACCCATAATTTAGAAAAAAATGCGTAATTGAAAAGGAAAATATTGAAAATGAAGAAAGCCTGAATCTTATTAATAAATTTAGTGACGAATATTTCTAATTGATGGCATGTTTAAATAAAACTGATTTCGAAGAGTTATTCAATTTTTTATCATCTTCAAACGTTTTATTGAAAGGTTTAATTGACACTTTGATTTATATTGTTTAAAAATTTACTTGAAATTTATCAAAATGTTATTGAATTTTTTTAAAATTTTGTCAACAAGTTCAATATTACAACTTTTCTTTTTTTTCACCATCAAATGCCATAATCTTCGAAACATTTTAGAATTAAATAAAGTTGTCATTTTACACACATTATTATATCATGAATATGTGTTTAATTATTTTTCAATTTCAATTATATCTTTAAAAATTATATTATCTTCATGTTGTAATTTTGATTAAAATACCACAAATCAACCAAAGTATACATAAAAACAGTACAAATAAAGTGACTATATTTATCATATAAAAAAGACAGTAAATCACGCATATTAATATCATTAAAACTTTTCCACTCGACGCTTTTTTTCGAGAAAAAAGCTTTAATTTCCTTCCAATTGTATATGAAAATGTTACAATTGATTTCATACTTAAAAACGTGTTTGGCAGTATGTTTCAACAGTATCGACTTCCATCATTTTCAATCATTATATTTTGATAGAATTTTACAAATTTCCTTTAACCACTCTAATAGACATACAACTAAATAATCTTTTACATTTACTTCATCATTTTTACACAATCAAACGTTGTTTAAGAACTGATAATATAATAACAAGAGAACAACGGAGAAAAAATCATCTCTTTTTCCCATTAACCAACTTTTGAGTGAATTGGTTCTCAATTGAAAAAATATTTTAAACCCAAAATGTGGATTACAATAGATGAAGATATTATTCCATTTCCAGGGATGTTCAGGAATTTAATATATATAAAAGACAAACCTCATAATAGGATATTCAAGAGGATTGTATTAATTGTGTAGACACGGGGTATTTTCTTGATGGAAAATACTTTGATAGAGGTACAGATGAGCACAAAGATAAAGACAATAAAAAATAATTGACACAATAACACCTACATTGATATATTCATAGTTGATACGACAAAAAACGACAATACACCAAACACGATATTCAGAAAGTCAAAACGTCTTTGTGAACACAACTGCAATAACACGACAAAATTACTCGACGCTACTTGACATTGGTACAAACAAAATTGTAAAAAAACTTCAAAAATAAAAAAACGATGTTTATAATTGTTAAAACAGCTCAACTAGAAAATAAAAATATTTTATAAGCAAAAAAAACAAAATGACTCTTGAACAGATCGAAGTTGAATTGATGTTCTTTAAAACACTCGAAGATAATTTGGACGATAATGACGCGAGAATAAAATAACATTTCAATAAAAATAACGAATTACCAATTACATTTATTCCAAAAACAATTTCAAACTTCGAAAACAAAATGGAAGCCCGAGTAAAATTTGTTTTTTAGAAACAGTAAAGACTCAAATGATAATGTTGTATAACACTCACAAAACTGGAGTGGACCGCTGTGACCAACTTATTCGTCATAAAAATGTCAGAAGAAGAAGCAATAAATTTGCACTGTCTTGCTTTTATGATATTATTAATTGTGCAGTTACAAATGGAAATATTCTCTTAAATAATACACATCAACACTCAACTCATAAGAATTTTGTTGAATCCTTTTCAAATCAAATTGTTGGAAAGATCACTCTTGAACCAAACCGCCTTGTTCGTCTTTCATTAAAAGGTTTGAACATCAAAACAATTGGAAAATACTTGATCTTAAAAAATGAAGAAATTATAAAAGAAAGAATATTGTTTTTAAAATGAAGTAATAAGGTATTCTTTGAAGGTCTGTTTTAACTGTTATTATTCTGTATGCACAAAGCATTCGATTATCAAAAAAAAAGTTTTATTTGCAATGAATGTGAAATACTTGCTCGTAATTAAATAATATTTGTCTACAATTTCGGGTTATTTCGTGTGCATAGGCCATACACATTTTCCTTTTTTTCTTTTTTCTTATTTTGCAAACCCAAAATTATTTTTATTACATATTTCCTTTTTGTGAACCCTAATGTCCCGAAAAAGTGTTGTTATTTTATGTGTTAATAAAATGTCGAAATTTCTGCAATCTTGGGAATTATATATATAATATAACGAATAAATGTTTAACTATGAATTAAGAGACATTTTTTTTAAAAAAAACAGTTATTAATTAATTAAAACCCAAATAAACGATAAAAGCGATTTAGAAGAAACATAACACGATGACCAAAATCATTGCAACAGCAACTCCAAATGTTCCTTCATCGGGGTTCTTCACCATACATTGTTTGCATTCTTCATCTGTTTCATCACATGGGTCTTTATATGTTTCTTTGCACTTCTCACACGTTTTCTTGTCAGTTGGTTTGAAGTACTGAACTGGGCATTTTTCGATGCAGTTGTTTTCGAAGTAAATTTCGTACTTTGAATTGCACACTGTACACGTATCTCCGTCTTTGCATTGATCACAGTTAGTCTTGCATGTGTAACAATTGCTATCATCTTTCTTGTAATATCCAAGAGTCTTACACTCACTAACACATTTCAATGTAACTTGTTCGAGTAAAAATCCAGTTTTACAAACAGAGCACTGTTCTTTACCATTACACTTTGCACAATCACTTGTGCACAACTCCATCTTCTTTGTTTGTGCATCATAATAGTAATTGTCTTCTGGAGTAGTGCATGAAGTGGCGTCTGTGCATTTGGAGCAATGGTCAAGGCATTTCTTGCACTCCTGACCAACTTCATAAAAGTTGTTGGTGCAAGACGCAACACACAATTGCGTTGTTTCAAGGAGTAAATAGTTTTTGGAGCATTTTTGGCACTTTGGGTTATTCTCACAAGTGTCGCAATTTGTAGCAGTGCATTTCTTACACATGTTATCGGCTGTAGAAGTGTAATAAGTCGCTGGACATGTCGCATAACATAAATGCGTGTCTTCAGTCTTCTTATTTGTAGCTTTACATGTTGTGCATGAAGTACCATCGGAACATACATCACACAAAGCAACACAATCTTTACAGTCTGGTGGCGTTCCATATTTACCAGTACCACACGTTGTGGTTGCACACAAATGAGTTGTTGGATCCGCAGTTGTACCGTCAGTACATGTGATACAAACATCTGGTTTACCATCACCATCACAAGTTGCACAATTTGCAGTGGTACACTTCTTACACATGTTATCAGATGTGGAAGTGTAATATTTCTCTGGACATGTGGCAACACACTTTTTGGTGTCTTCAGTCATTTTGTTTCCAGTTACACACGATTCACAAACAGAATCAATGCATATTTCACAGTTTGCATGATCGTTAATACAAGCAGTCATATCTAAGGAGCACTCATCGGAGACACCATCAACACTGGACATTTTGCTTTCACAAGCCGCGCAATCATCACCATTGACTTTTCCATCTACAACACCAGACAAATTAATTTTGTGAAGTTTGTCGCATTGGGCCTTCTTTACAGTGGCAGTGCCAAATGTGGTTGCAGTGTATATATCATTCACATAAACAGCAACAATGGTACTTAGATCTTTCGTAAACGTTGGTGCAATTGCGCCATGGAAAAAGACTGTAGATACAGTAGCCAAAGTGTCACCAATCGAAGTCACATTTTTTAAATGCAATTTGGTAATTGTAACCTCCAAAAAAGCATCGGTTTCAATTGTTTTGATGCTCTCAGTATTAAGGAAAGTGACCGACTCTGCTGAGCATCCCGCAAACATTTTCTCTCCAATGTTTTCGTTGTTATTGACATCAACAGTTGCAAGGTCTGGGGCATACGAAAATGCTTCTGAACCAATTGTTGTTATTACACTTGGTAATTTAATTTCTGTGAGCATTGAACTGTAAAACGCTTTAGCTCCAATTTTTGTCATCGATTCTGCAAATTCAAATGTTGTGGCTGGGACACCATTAAAAGCCTCATCACCAATTTCAATAATGTCTTTTGTATTTGAAATTGTCGACAAAGCAGTGCACATTGAAAAACATTTGGCAGGAACAATTGTTACTCCTTTCAAGTCGATTGAATCAATGCCAGTTCCTTCAAAAGAAGATTCACCAAGACTTGCAATACCCGCATCCGACATAAATGAAATAAATAAAGTGTTATTAAAAGCGCCCTTTTTAATTGCCACTTTGTTTGTACCAGTGAAGTGTATATTTAACTCATAACCAGTGCTTTCGGCGTTAGAAAATCCCCCCTCAGCAACACATGTTGCATCAGGTATAGTGATTGTAGTTTCACATTTTGTTCCATCATACTTAACACAGCCATCAGCATCCTTTGTATAACATGAAAGAGCAGTAATAACAAGTAACCACAAATACAATAATCCCATTTTAATATGTAATTTGTTGTTTTTTCCTTTTTAAATATCAATTTTTTAAATGTTTTCAATTTATTACATAAATAGAAATGCAATTTTTTTCGATTTTTTTTTTCATTTTTTGTTAACCAGAAAAAAATAAAATCAACAAAAATAGATATATCAACTATTAAATAGTAGTTTATAATAAATAGATTTATTAAATAATCATTGAGAATATACAGTTCAAATTACCAGACAAACGTACAATTCTTTAAATAAACTATTGAAAAAAATAATAAAATGAATGGACCAATCAACAACCTTAATTTGTTTTTTTTTCAACAATAATATATTTCTTTGTGTTCATTCATATGGTTTTGAATATTTGCAAAACACTGTTGGAGTTGAAACATATACGGTAACACAGATAAATATTCTGTGTTATCGGGAGTAAATATTAAAAATATATTACTTATTTGTTTGGTCTTTTAATTGAAAATTGGAATTTGGAGTAATAATTCTAAATTACATGTTTTAATTTTTATTTACTCATTTGATTTACTTGTTATTATAATAGTTTTGATATTTCAATTTTTAACATTAATTACTGGAATAAAATAGTTTTTTTTTCTAAAAAAAATAAGATAGATTTTTGTTTATTTTCATGCTTGGTGTGAAGTAAATGTTTTTAAGACTAATACATATGTTTGTCAATTAATTATAATAATATATTTAGTTAAAACACAAGTGTTATTAATTATAATAGTTTCAATATACTATAATAAAAATTAAATAAATAATTTAATATTCAAAATATAACACTTTGGAGCTTTGTTTTTTCTGTTTTATATAAAAAACAATAAAAAGAGGAAAACTTGTTTGAGATTTTTTGTGGTTTTTTATCCTTGTGATTTTAGTAAAAGTAATATTCAAATGATAAAAAAATCACTAAGATATTCGAATTATTGTTATTTTTAACCATCTTTGAAAGTTTCATTACTTGTAGCAATTTGCTTAGACGATGAATGTTTGTAAAAAGCGTTTTATCGCCACTCGAAATGACATTTCATCGACTTGATTCACACAAATTCATAGAGTATTTTTCTAATAAATATACGCACTTACAATTGAATAAAATAGTACGTCTGTTTTAAATTTTTTTAACAAAATTAACTTCGACGACTGTCACTAAAATTAAGTATCTTCATCATAATATTCAACTTTCAATATATCATATAATTCAAAATTGACTTAATATTACTTAAAAAACACCATTATTGTTTAAACTTTAGTTTTTAACAATCAGTGACCCATCTTTTTCATTAAGTACTCGATCAGATATTATCATTTTGAATTTTGGAGATTATTCAGTAAAAATGTTATTCAAAAATATTTGTTTTAATAGTTTGGCAAAATAGTATGTTGTGTTTTAATGAAAAAAAAATTCTGGGAAAAAAACACAAGAAATTCCAACGTGTATTTATATTACTATGAAATAAATATAATGTTTTATATTAAATATTTTCTTTTGTATAAAACGTTAATAAAAACACACAAAACAAAACTTTTTAAAAAAAGTAAAAGAACTCTTTTTGAATAATTATTTAAAGTAATCTGGTAAGTACTTTTCAAATCTCTCATAGTAAAACATGAATTGTTTTTTCACCTCTTCTTCGTCAAACATAAACAGTTTCTTATCTTTCTCTTTGTCTTCTTTTCTATCCTTTTGTTCTTTCTGTTTGAGCAGCTTCTTAATATTTTCCTCAAACTCCTCTGAATATTCCATATTGAAATATTTATAGATCTTTTTCGTTTCTCCAATTGGGTCTTTAGTCAGAGCCGTGAATGAAATGTCGTAAATTTGTTTTTCGCGCTGTGGATCCTCACTGACCCATTTATCTCTCGCTGCAATTCCGTTCTTCAAGCACAGCCAAATGATTTTGATAGTACACTCATTAGTCCATTTAACATCATCCATTCCAATATCCCCCACAAAATTGCCACGAATAGCAATGCACCCCGGAATCAGACTTTTTAACTCTGGAATGATTTCTCTGTGTATCCACAGTATTCTTCCTTCCGTCGCATTGACCAAATTAAAGAAGTTCATTGGCTCCACAAAGTGCGAAACGGCCTTCAAACACAAGTGGAAGTTCTTCTTTTTCTCTTCCATTTTTGACACGTCGGTGTCGTACCAGGGACACTCCCTTTTATCCAACAAGTGCATTTTAAACTCTTCCAAAAGTCCGTCATACACAAACTTGAAATTTCCGTTCCAGAGGTGTTCTCTATATTGTTCGAGTCGGGGGAGACATAGTGAGTACACCCACGAGAATCCAAGCATCGCTTTAAAGCAGATCTCCTCTTCATATTGCTCCACGTCCATTTTATGTCGTTTATTAATATCATCATTTAACATCGGCTCTATCACTCTCTTCCCAAAGTTGAGACGACCTTCAGAGGACATTGTCTTGCTCCCCGGACAGAAGTGTTCGTACATTTTAATAGAAGTCGCAAGTGGGTCTGAAGACATCACGTGATGAGCAAAAGTAGAGCCACTACGTGGCATAGAGACTATAAACAATGGATTTTTAATTTCTACTTTTGAAAGGTTTTCTTTGTCGATTTCTTGCTCATATAAAAAGCGCAAATAGACACTGACTTGGCCTACACAGTACTTGAAAACATTTTTAAACATCTGAGAGTTCGGATCAAAACAGCCTGCAAAGAACTCTCGTGCAGCTTGTTTGAATGGGTTGGCTTCTAATTGCGTGTGATACTTCTGTGGTAACGTCTTGTACTCTTCGGCGTGTGTAGGATCAAGTTGACACATCAACTGAACGGCATATTCCTGCACCTTTAAATATATTGGACCAAAAGCAGACTCGGGTAATTCAGGGAGGAGATATTTGTTGGAAGTATCTAATTGATACTGTTCAACGTTGGTGTAAACAAAGGGTTCACTCATTCTGAAATTGAAAGATCTGGAAATGAATAAACACTGATAAGGTTCGAACGCGTTGGAAATTATTGATTTGAAAACAATTGTTGTTATGTTTCGGTGTCGTTTTATTTTTTGTGAATTAAAATTAAAGTTTGTTTGCGGTATTTTTTTTAAAGGAAAAATGAAACAATATTTCTTAAGTTGGTGAAAGAAAACTATAGTAAGGAAGAATAGGGTCAATTAATCAAGCTTTCAATATTATATTTTTATTATATACTAATTAATATAAATTATGAAGAAAACAAGATCGAATAGTTCAATTCAACTGACGTTCATTTGGTTTTTTTCTTATGTAATTTTCTTGGTGGAAAAAAGTGAAATTTAAACAGATATACTAAAAATATAGTATATTTTAATTTTGAAAATGGATGTTTTCTTAAAGAGTAGGAATTACAAAAAGTGTACATCCGATAATGACAATCTAAATCAAAAAATAATTTATTTTAGTCATTTTATAATGTCTTCAAGTTTCTTTATGATATTTATAAATAATTGGTAACTAAAGCAAACTTTTTGAGATAAAAAAATAGTAAAACCACTTTACAAAAAAAATATCAGTGAAACATTATTGAATTATTAAGTTTTTTCAAAAAAAATAGAAGAGTTGAACAATTGAACTTTAAGAATTTACATTTTTAAAGTAAAACAATAGTCAAAAATTGTTTAAAATAATTATTTAAATATAAGGGCTGACAATATCTCATATAAGTTATGAATTCAAATTAATTCGAAAGAACTGGTAATAAAATAATTTAAATGATTGTCAAATAATTATAAATATAGAATAATAATTTATTATTTTTTTATTATTTTAAAAAAATTGATAACAAAAAAATAATTGGTAAAGACTAAAAAATCATTTTTTTAATAATTTTCTAACCCAAACATCTATATTTTAATATTTACAAAAAAGTGTTTTTAATTATTTACATAGTAATCAGTATCCCACTTTTCTTTTTAACTGTAACATAAGGAGTATGAAACCAATTTAATAAAATCGTTATTTAAAAAACATAAAATATAGTTATATATAAAAATACTAAAAGATAAAAACCACTATTCAAACAAAATCATCAACCCAGACGAAGTTGTTGCTTGTGGTATTGCTGTGCAAGTTGATCTTTTGACAAGAACCATTGGAAGGTCGCAGAAGAAGTCTTGTTGTTTGATGATGTTGCCATTGACACTTGGGATAGAGACAACTAATGGTATGATTACTGTCTTGATTTGATAAACTCTTTTATCCTAACAAGGAAGTCACAATTATCCGCACTTGTGTTTTCAACTAATGCGGACAACCAACTTGTTGTATTTACCCAATTATTTGAATGTGAGGTGTCAATACTTCAAAATGCAACTTGCCAGGGAAGATTAAGTCGAGTAGAATACGTTTTTGGAAAAAGTAAATATCAATTGAGATTTTTATTTTTTTCTTCGAATTTTGGAAATGATTTAATTAAATTGTTCTAATACTAAGCAAGTAGAAAATATTTTTAACAAAAAATATATAAAAACATTTTAAAATTAAATACAAAAATCATCAACATCATTTTCATTATAAATATACTGACAATCTTTTTCATACTTTTATCCAACTAAAATGGGACTTTTATTTATTATACTTTTATAATTATTTATAAACAAATAAACAAAGATTTGATTATTTTAAATTGAAAATAATGATAATGTGTCTGGTGTACATTTATCATTCATTGATGTCAAACTTAGTTGTGTTTTCTCGTTTTGAGATTAAAACAACAATCAAAACAATTCATACCAAATGATGTCACGGTTGATGGTATATCTGCACTGGTCAAATTCGTACAACTAGCGAAACACCACTTACCAAGTGATGTCACACTTGACGGTATTGTCACATTGATAAGACTGCTACATCCACAAAAAGAATAATCTCCAATTGATTTTACACTTGATGGTATTACTATATTACTCAGACGTTCACAAGAAGTAAAACATGAATATGGTATTGATGTAACACTCGATAGTATAACTACATTTTTCAAAAAGCAACATCGACAAAAACAGGCTTTACCAATTGATAAAACACTTGGTGGTATTATTACACTGCTTAAACTACCACATTCCCAAAAACATCTCTTACCCATTGATTTAATACTTGATGGTATTGTCACTTTGTTCAGAGTATCACATCCATAAAAACAGTTGTCACTTATTGAAGTAAAACGGGATGGTATATCAAACTCAGTACACTTATATTCGTTGTTTAACTTTTTATTGTTGATCATAATTACACTTGTTGGTATTGCTACACTGCTCAATGTTTCATACCCAAACAAGCATCTATTTCCAATAATAACGTTTATAAAATGTGGTATAACTACACTGGTAAGATGATCACATTCACTAAAACAGGAGTTACCGATTGATGTTACACTTGATGGTATTAACACACTTCCTAGCCTACAACATCTATTAAAACACAAATCACCAATTGATTTCACACTTGGTGATATTGTAACGTTGACTAGACTGCCGCAGTAAATAAAACATTCAATACCAAGTGATATAACTTTTGATGGTATAACCACATTACTCAAACTGTTGCATCCATTAAAACATTCATTACCAAGTGATGTGACACTCAATGGTATCACAACACTGCTTAAATTTGTACAGTTATAAAAACACCATTTACCAAGTGATGTCACATTTGGTGGTAAATTATTACCATATTTATTTCTATCATTATTGGTATAAGTAACATTCTTAAATTCGATGTTTTTATTACTGTTTATGTCAACTGTTGTATAATCAACATTGAACCACACAACAATTCTATAAAAATTGATTTTTATTTCATCTATTTTGTTTTTGTTGATATTTTCTGTTGTTTCAGAGTTTTCAATATTAACATAAAAATCATTACCAAAGTTTTCATCCTCCAAATTCCACAAGTGAAGTGTCTCGATGTTTGTAAAGTATTTGATAGTTTTGTGATTCAATGGAATTGGGTTGAAATGAAACTTCTCTATGTTGCCTTTGTATTTCTTGCATACAAATTCAATGTTGACAAGGTCTTCTATTGTTGTGAAATACTTTGAGACTATCATGACATGGTAACTGTCAAGTTTGGACATCTATAATTATTAAGTGATATTTTGATTTTTAAATACTTAAAATTCAAAGGAACTAAATATTTTTAAATGATATTTCATTGGTTAAAACAATTTCAAATAATGTTTTTGATTGTTGGTAAAAAATATATTTTATTAAAAATACACATTTGTTTTTAAAAATAGTCAAGATAATAAAATAATAATTATTTAATAATAAATTTATAATTAAAGTGTAAACACTCATCATAAAATGAAACAAAATTAAAGCAAAAAGAAGTTTGTCAAATAAGTATCGTGATTCTTCGAAGTTATTTGTGTATATCAAAACACAGTAACTATTAAAAAAATTGTTTAATTTATTATAAACATTTAATTTAATAACTTATTATTTTTTTTATTAAAATAATAATAAAAAGAAAAAAGATAACAAATATCTCTTAATTTTATAATATACCTATTGACTCACTTTTCTCTTTTATAACTCACTTGTCAAAAAATGACTCACTATTTCGCTTCTTGACTCACTTTTATAAAAGTAACTCACTTAAAAAACAATTTACTATTTCAATGGTCTTTTAAATAATAAAATAAAATTTCTTTAAAATAATAAAATATAGTTTTTATTTAAATTGCTATATAATTATTCACTCAATCAAAAACTTGACCATTTGGGCAAATTTGCCATTAATCAAAATAATTTAAATCTGGATTGTGTTCAAAAAACAAAAATAAATAACATTTTTACTTACAGAAAATATTTTTGTTATTAAATTAAAGTTTTCATAAATGAAAAAAATAAAAACAAATCGATTAATTGATTTAAAAAATACTTATTGTGTTCAATAATTATATCGTTTTCAACATGATAAATAACGCCATACAAATACAATGAAATGAAGGTGTTGTCACACATTTGAATTTATTATATTACATTTTTTAAAAATGTATTAATTTTTGTTTTGAACAGTCAATAAAATACAATAAATAATAAATGAGTTTCGTTATAAAAGATATTTGAATTAACAAACAACATTTTAAAGAAAAAACATTGAATAATTTAAAACCAAAATGTTAAAAATGTTTTTCATCATCTAGAACAATTATATACATTTGTCATAACCCAAACAACTTGTTTAATTGTTTATAAATTACAATAACAAATCAATAAAACGCGAATAACAAAGACACAATAACAATAAAGTACACTTTTACTACAAACACAACAAATATGAAAACAATTTAATCATGTTAAATAAAGATGTCGGAATAATAACTTATTAGAGTATATGATGAACACAACATTAAACAGCAGAGAACTGTTTATAACCAAAATATCATGTAAAATATTAATGACAACACAAACATTGTAAATAATAAATTAAGTTGTATTGATTAATTTCTATGATGAAATTAGTTTAATTCAGTTAATTATTTAAAAATGTGATTTAAAAAATGAAGTCGATTAACATATGTATAGTTTTACACGTTTAAAGTTGTCTCTTAGTTGTATTCATTTTAATTAATTACAAAAACAAAGTTAGTGGCATTACAAAACAATTGAAAGTATAAATAAAAATAAACATTTGTGTAAATTTTTTTATTAATACTTTTTTTGATAAAATATTAACAGATAAATAATTTAATTTCTGATTGGAGCTCATGTTTGATAATTGTGACATATTGTTTGTCCAATGAAAATCTTTAAGATTTTGTCTTAGTATATTACTTTTTTTTATAAATAAGTCATTGCGTCGTTATCCACAAATATTATACAACAACTTTTTGTTAACAATTATATACAAGTGTTATTTATTATTTTTTTTAACTTGCTTATCATAATAAATTTTTTTTTCATCTCACAACACACAAAATGGAACCATTGTATTTCTTTAACATCACAACAAATATGAATGTAAAATAAAGACTAATTAAATTATAATTTGTTAATGATTTTATAAAATAAGAATCATAAAAAATTACTTTTTACTTTTACATTTTTATTTAGAAATATCAAACAATTTGAATAAAAAATTAAAACTTTTAAACGTGTAACTTCATACTAACAACGAAAATGATTCCACCAAATTGAAAATATGTATTTTTAAGCATAATTGAATTTTGAATTAAAATTTAAATAGATATATACATTAAATACATCAAATTCGTTGTCCAATAGTTTATACTAAGAATGTAAAACAATTCAAAACAATTTAATTTGAATCAACAAATGTGAGTTATGTCAATTTATCAATATTATTCTTTTGAATATTATTTGTATGATTTTATTTTTTTTCTTATTTTCGAGTATTATGAATGTTGTTAATTATGGTTTATTTTTATAATAAAATTTACAAACTTTATATAGTTGTTAAACTATGGATATACTAAACATATTTTTTTAATGAGTATAAAATGTTTTATAGTAGAACGACGAATATATAATTTTGAATAGTTAAAGTAAGTTACTTTATGCCCAGGTATGTTATAAGTCTTTGCCAAAATTTCACAAACCTTAATGTTTGGCAATTTTTGAGAAAGGTGATAATTTGCAAAATTATAATTGTAGTGAAAAAAAATTATAATTTTTAGTTCAATTAATTTATATATATTGATTCCCTTATATGTATAGAAAAATATATTTTAATTTAAACATAATAAAATAATATATTATTTGATATTTTTTAAATTGTGACGACTTTATAAGAATTAACAAAAAATGTTTTTTAAAAAAAATCTTAACCATATTTGTAAAATGCCGAAACAAAAAATGAACAATTTATAATGAATAAAAAACATAAAATCATTTATTTTGAATTATTGAAATTGAAATATGTTATTTTTTTATTAAACCACTTTTTGACTTTGTTTGTTTGAGTATTTGATGATTTACATTGTAAGTTGAATTGTTTCTGTATTATTTGATAAATTATTGATAAATTGGTTATTGTCAATCAAAACAACATTTCATAATTTTATTTTAATATCTTTAAATTTACAACAGATGTTGTATTAAAACCTTGGACTTTTAAAATAATTAATTTTAATATCTTATGTGTATGTACATGTGAGCCTTAAGTCATAACATACAATTTTTTTGTAAATTGTTGTCTTAGTCTAAGTGTTATCGTTTAAAGTTAAATTTGATTTTACATGTTTACGTACTTAAAAGATACCACTTTTAATTTTTTAGGCTGTTTTTAAATAAAAACATTATGATAAACTAAGAAACATTATACACTAACTGTTGTTATTTAATTATTGAAAATTAATATTTAATAAATGACTACTTTGAAATTTTCTGATTATGACGTGGTGTTATTGAAATATAATAAAAAAGATTAAACAATTAAAAAAAATCACTTGTATATTTAATGTTTAGTTTAAATGTAATTATTAATAAAAAAATAGTAAATTGAAACTTATTATATTAACGAATTTTGATGTGTTGACAAATAATTCTTCTTTTTACCATGTTTAGTTGTTTTTTGTTGATACGTGTGTTTTTCAATAAGCATCGATTTTAAATTAATATTAAATTATTAACCAAATATAAAATTAACTATTTAAATATTGTGTTTTTTCGAAAAAATAAAAAATTAACTAATTTAGTGATTATTTTTTTTCTAAAAAACAAAATAAACAAAATTTATTTAGTAATTTACAAATAATGGTAACTTTATTTTAATTATCGGTTTAAAAAATGTGTAAATAATTTTCCACAAAAAACAAAAAATTAGCACAGAAAAAAAATGAATTGTGCCAACCCATGCCTAGCGGGAGTCACATTTAGTAACACAAAAATTACCAAATAAATGTCTTACCTTAATAACACCGAAAAATAATTTTTATATCAAATATTGTTATTTAATTTTGAACAATATACAATCTTTTTATACATTTCAAAACTCAAACAAATTTTTGTATATATAATAATCAAATCTTCAAAAATCATATTAAATGGCAAAACTTGACCCATTTCATATAATGATTGTCTCACAATATTTTACTGGTATTTCTGATTTTAAAAATCTTGAAAATGTTCACCAGAAATACAAAGGAAATATGTTAAAGTTTCACTTCAACCCGATACCACTCACTCCTGAAATTCTACCTCTATTTCCAAATATCGAGACGTTGAACGTCTGGAGTCTTCCCGCTGAATTTTTTAATTTTTACGACTTAGTTGAAGACTCTCTTCATTCAGATTATAAAAAGAAAAAGACTCAGAAAAACACGCGAAAAAGTCGCAAATCTTTGACCCGAGAATTTGTTCATCTGAATATCTGGTATGAAGTCTCTTATAGTCGTTCTTTGATAACAGAAAATGGGAAAATATCATATAAAAATATTTGTTTGTTTGATTTTGAACGTAGAATGAATTATAACACAATTCCTCAAAACGTGAAAAGTCTTGGCGATAAGTGTTTTGCTTTTGAAAAAACGTTAAGCGAAATTATTATACCCGACAGTGTGACAAGACTCAATTATGAGTGCTTTACTTCGTGCACCAACTTGACTAAAGTTGTGCTACCAAAAACTTTAAAAGAGATTCAAGGACTTTGTTTTGATGGTTGCAAATCTTTGGAAGAAATAGAAATACCAGAGACTGTCGAAACAATCGGATATAATGCCTTTTCAGGTTGTGAAAAGATCTCAAAAGTGGAAATGCCTGGAAGTGTTAAAGTATTGAGAGAATGGACGTTCGCTGGATGTGTATCACTTAGAGAAGTGGTTTTACACGACGGTATAAACAGCATTAATTACGATGTATTTGCACGGTGTGATTTAAATACTGTTGTTGTACCAAAAAGTGTTACACAACTGGATAGCACTGCATTTGATAAAAATGTGGTGATTATAAGAAATTGAGTTATGACTTGTTGTTGTATTAACACTTAAAATAACGCCCTTATTTTTGTTTTGGCCTGTTTTTACAGTGATATTAATCCAATTTTTGATGATTATCCTTTTTGGCTTGTGTATTGTTTATGCACATAATATAAACTCTAAAAAATGGAAATTTATATAATAAACTCGATATTTCCCCAATTTTTAGACCACTTAAATATTATTTCAATGTTATTTAAAGTGTTACATATTTTATTAGTTATATCCCTAAAAAACAGGGCCTAACTATTTTAATAATAAAAAATAATTATATTTAAAATGGAAATATAAAAAATCAAATAAAACAGTTCTTAATTTGTGAAAGAGCATCATATATTCAATCAGCAATTTGTGTACACATCAATTTAATACTAGTTTAAAGAGATCTTTAATAAATACCACAAACATCAAATGATTTATGTATTTTCTCCTGGCTCAACAAATTTATTAATTGTAAATTTTATTTACATACTACCTGTCTTGTTGCGCTTTTTCTGTTTCCTTTTATTGTATATGGCAGAGTGTCTGGTATTTTTAGAATTGAATTATTTTAACAATTAAAATAGTTTTGTTTTATTAAAATTAAATAATAAAATCCTTGCAAAAAATAAAGTTTTGCATAAGGCAGAGTGTCCACACTTTAAAGTGGTGGTTGTCTTGATGATTTATTCAATTAAAATATGTTTTTAACACAAAAAATAAATAATTTTTTAAAATAACATATTGATAAGAACAATAAAGAAATTTTATGTGTTTAAAGCAATTAAAAACATATAACATTTTTTATATTGATATTAGTTAACAAATAACCAAAAGATGAATTTTAAACTTCTTTATTTTGTTATTATTTCATTGATATTTTTGATATCTTAAATAAAACATTTTTATTTAAATTAATAAATGCATTGAATTAATTATTCAGCCTTTTGGAAATTATTAATAAAATAACATACAATAATAAATAGCTGTTATCCATATTTAAAATTGTTTTAAGAAAAACAATTTTTGACGCAATAAAAACTTTCATAATTAAGTTCAGATGTATACGTGTTTCATTTATTTACTGATTAAAAAAAACACAAATAAATCATCATTTCAATTAAAAAATCAATTTGTTCTTGTTCTTATAATATTTTCTCAAACTTTGTATTATCAAAGCACCCCATCCCAATTTTTGTGATATTTTCCAAGTTAATCGTTTCAAGTGAAACACAATTATCAAAACAGAAAGGAGAGAGTTCTGTTATTGACAAGGGTAATATGACATTCTCAAGTTGTGTTGCACACGCAAAACAAAAGTCTCCAATTTTAGTGATGTTATTAGGTATTTCAATTTCAGTAATTGTTGTGTTGTTAAAGAACGCCCCCTCATCAATTCTATGAACCTTTTCATCTTTTAAAATATCAATTCCAAACATTTTTAAATCGTTGAATTTCACTTTCACGTTGTCACAGATCATTTGTTTTTGTTCAAATTGTTTATATAATGTATAACTGACTTCTCCACTATAATAAGTTGTCTTTTCTTCATTAAATAATATCAAACTCAATGATGCACATCCCTCAAATACATCACTTCCAAATGTGATCTTATTGTTCTTAAAATTGACACGTTTGAGATTCGAGCAATTCATGAAACAACCATCTTCCACATTTTCAAGTGATTTTGGAAATGTGAGGCTCTCTAGTGAGTAACAATTTTTAAATGCAAATTTGCCAATTGTTTTCAACGTCGTTGGGAAGACCATTTCTTTCAAATTGTAGCACTTCATAAACATGCAATGAGGAATACATTCAATGTCTCTAAAATTGTCAAATTTGATCAAAGAATTGCAACACCAAAAAACACCACCTTTTAAATGTTTGACTTTTGATATGAATTTCAGATTGAAGCAATTCATAAAACATTGTGTTTTATATAGCACTTCTTTTGACTCACAAAATACACTTTCAAGTGAGTAACAATTCGCAAAACACCGCTTCCCAAATTTCTTGAGACTTTGGGGGAGTGTAACACTCTTCAATGAAAAACAATTAAAGAACACTTTTTCGTCAATTTCTTCTAAAGTGTTTGAAAATGTGACTTTTTGTAAAAAATGCATGTTGTTGAAACACAACTTGTTGATCTTTTTTGAAACTAATGAAACATCGACTTCTCTTAAATTGTATGATGCCAACTTGCAATATTCGAGTGTTTTTATTTGTAATGGCATTTCAAACTTTTCAGTGAAAGTATCATACAAGTCAAATTGAGTTTTCCAGTAATGAGTGTTTTTCATTGACACATTTTTGTTCTCAAAGTTAACACTTTTTATTACAGACCAGTCGACTTTGTCACCGAATTCATATAAATTTTGTTGTGTGTAATCAACATTATGGAATGTGTACCCCAATGCGTACATTTGGAGATAAAACTTGTAGTCAACTATAACATTGTCAAAGAAAAATGTTTTAAAAGTGTTGATATCATTTTTGTTATTTTCCAAATTGTTTAATGTGTTTTTACACTCAGTAAATGATATTTTGGTGAGTTTGTGACAATTATAGAAATATACTCGTTCGAATATTTTTATTGTTGGTGGAAATACAACTTCACAGAGGTTTTTGTATTTATAAAAATATAACCCACTTATTTTTGTGACACTCGATGGTACTTCTATTTTTGTTGTTTCAAAAGGAAACTCGAAGTTATAATTCAGTTTTTTTATACCGGCTGTAACACAATGTATAATATCTTGATTTTCAGTTTCTTTATTAATATCAACATTGTGACCGTCTTCAAATACAATTGACTTCAAATTGGAGCATCCACCCACAAAATTTTTTCCAATTTTTGTGACACTTTTTGGGATGTACAACGAAGTCAAATTATTTGAAATAACAAATGCATTTTTGCCTATTTCACGTACATTCCTGGGAACAACAAATTCTTCAAGTTCTGAGCTGGAAAAGTAATCATCTGGTATAAATGTGATGGTGTCTGGAAGTTGAACACATTTTGCGTTTTTAATACAAAATTTGGATTCATTAATTAAAAATGCATTTTCGGGGATAATAATTTTTTCGATGGGATTGCCATAATCAAAAACTTTGATTCTGAAATTAACAACAGTGGAAGGAATGTAGAGTCTTAAATGATCGCTCGTGTAATTGAACTTAATTTTAAACACGTCCAAGTCGCCAAGATGGATGTAATCGGAGTTAACACGAATTTCATTATTTATTTCGTTGTAATTGTCCAACTTGAACACATTCTCATTAACTTCTTCCTTTTTCATCATGTTTGATACATCAATACCAAGTTTTTTAAATAATTGTTGTTCACTTTCAGTTGCATTGTACAAGTGTTTCATATAATTAATTGGAACATCCAATTTGGCCAGAGAAATACATTGTTCAAAGCACCCACCATCTTCAAACACAACATTTTCATTAAAATTGAGTCCGACCAATTGTTCACAATTTTTAAATGCAAAACTCCCAACAAATCGAACTTTTTGTGGTACTTCAAATTCACTGAGTTTATTACAATTGGAAAATGCACATTTACAAATCATTTCCAAATTGGAAGACAGAGTAATTCTCTTAAGGGAAGTGCATTCTGAAAATGCCGAATCTGCAATGATTTCTACGGTGTTGTCCATCACAACTTCTTCCAGATTTTGGCAAGAACGACACGTCTTTTGAGGTATGCACTTTTTGCCACAAAATGTGATTTTTGTGAGTGTGTTATGGACAAATACCAATTCATCGATATACACATTCTTCTCAGCTGTAAAATCATTAAAAGCACACCCACTAAAAGCATTTCTACAAATCAAAGTTACGTTTGGACCAAAGTCAACAGAAGTGAGCGACGAACAATTTGAAAAACAAGATTCTGGAATTACTTCTACTAGTTTTGGGAGGCGTATCTCTTTCAATCTGCTGCAACCATAAAATGTATTAATACCAAGTCTCATGAGATTGGATGGGAGTTCAATTGATGAGAGGTGAGAGCAGTCACTAAAAGCGAAATTTCCAATTTCAATAACAGAGGGCGGAAGTTTTATCGAAACTACTTGAGAACCTTCAAAAGATTGTTCACTAATTTTTCGCACAAAATGAGGAATTTTGTTTTTAAAATAAATTTGGTCTTCTTTTGTGTAAACAGAGAGTGGACAGACATTGAAATTGTTCATCTCTATAAGACACTCTTTGGCACTTTACGGAAAATTGAATAGTGATTTTTTAGTGTTCAGTTTCATATCAAAAGGAGAAAAGAATTGTTGGGTCTGTATAAACTTGAATATGTTTTTTGTTTTTGGAGTAATTTGAACTGGATTCATTCGAATACGGTCAAGTATATATTCAAACTTTTTACACACCAAAATGATGTTTATAAAGTCTTCATACTCTTTTAAATATGTCACGACTATTTGAATGGAATAGACATCAACTCGCTTTGACATGGGTTTAAAATATATTTTTTTAATTATATTCACTATAGTAATGATTTACAGTTTTATGAGGCAATTATAATTAAATGATAAAAAGAATAAATCGAATTTAAGTGATCTGAAACTCGGGAATTTTAGAGTTTATTAAATAATTTTTCTTGTTCAGAAATTTTTAAATTTAAGAAATTTTGGTATTTTAACAAAAAAAAAATAAACTGTTTTTCAAAACTCTGTACTGGGATGACCCAATTTTTTAGACAAATAATTTATATTTTTTTCTTTGCTTAACCCTTATTTAATAAAGTTATTCTAATTGATTTCAATTAATTATTCAGTTTCGAGAAGATACAACCTATTTGTATGTTTTGATTTTGATGGGTCAGTTAACCCACAAATACGAAAACCTACAAATAAGCGACTTTGACTGTATATAAATTATGTAAATTTAGGGGGGACACCATTTTATCTAAATTTTTAAATAATAAAATTAAATCGCGAGTGGGACGGTTTTTCTAAAAACCTGAAGGAGCTTTGCCCCAACGCGAAGATTTGAATTTTCCCAAAATTCTGGATTAAAGAGTTCCAATATTTAAAATCATTTTAAACCATATTTTATCATAATTTAACTAAATTTTAAGACGCGTAGCATTAATTTTTTTAAAATGACAAAACAAATTATTAATTCCGCTTTTAAAAATTATATTGAAATTTGTCATTTACTATTATTATATAATATAGTGTTGGATGAAGATGTTGATAAATTTATAGATGATTTTGAAAATGAACATGTAAGTGAACACGGAAGTAAACATATAATTTATTTTAGATGAAATTATAATGCATAATTTAAAGTTTAACTTTTACTATAAAAAAAACATAATAATGATATTCATTAATTACACAATTATTATTAAATTGGAATGCTAAATGCCTTTTTAACATGGAAGTTAACAAAATGATTTCAAATAAATTAATAATATTTAATAGTAAATGTTTCCATTTTATTGTAACATACTTTTATAACACGGGTTAGTTTTTATATTTATAAATATTCGTATTTTTCAAATTTTGAAAACAAATTTCTAGTCTAAGAAATTAATTAAAAAACATGAATTAATTAAATATACCTAATTTGTATATTATTTTAAATCAAGTGAAATCTTTTTAAAAATAATCAATTGAGTATTTAATAATTTAACTTAAACAACTTTGAAACCCCAATAAAAATGAATTCATTTTAGACCGCAAATAAAACAATTTTTGTTGTTTGTTTATTTATTTTTGATAAAATCTGATTTAAATAAAATTGATTTACATATACTCGAAAAATAGTACAGCACTGATAATACGACCTGCAAACTATAAAAATGGTTTATAAAAACTATATAATAGTTTTTAATACAAAATTTGAAAAAAACACGACAATAAACAAAAAACTATAATATTTCATAAATTTATGGTTTGCCAGTAGTTTTTTTGTGCTGGACTATTTTTCATGTATCTGTAATTTGTTTGTTGTTCTGTTTGGTCAAAATTTTTCATAATTAAAAGTTAGTATCTTTTCAGCTATACTTCTCAATTCTAAAATTGAAATAAATTACATTAAACCAGATACACATTATATTAGATTGTAATTGTTACATTTGTAATCAATAAACACAATAAAAAATTCATTTGTATTCTTTTATAGCTTGTTAAAAACAAAAACTTCTTTGTAGTTTGATAAACCCAAATTTATTATTGTTTTATAATAAAGAGAGTACAATTTCCATAACAATATTTTTCAATTTATTTAACTCAAGTTAACCAAATAAACATTTAATCAGAGTTTAATTTTAATTATCGAACAAAATATAATGAAAATAATATATTTGTTTTCTAATATAATGTTTTATAAACAAAGACTTTAAATATTTTTTTTTATTTATTTGATTGTTAATATGTGTTGTTTTAAAATAATAAAAATAGAATTTTTAGTTGGATATAAAAAGCCAGTGTTATCTATATATCGAATCAAACTTAAAACAATCAACCATGACTTCCAACAAGTTATGTCGTCCTTTCTTAGTATTAACTTATCTTATTATTTTGAACCCAATACCATCTTGTGCTTTAAGAATGAATTATAGACAACAAAAGTCCACAATTGAACATAAAAAAGGTATAGATTCTTTAGATTCTATAACTTCTAGTTCTAAAAACCAGACTCAAGAAATACATAGTTTATGTTCTAATGAATATGTAATATTAAACATGGATTCTTCAGATATATCATATAACATTTCATTTGATTGTTATTCTCAAATCCCAAATTACAAAACAATAATCAAAGCTTTTCAAATCAATTCAATCTGTTATGTCCACCCCGATCAGATGTATATTCATAAACAAAATAAAAAGATCAGCAGATGTGGGGAATGGCTCCAATTGACTGGACCTAGTCATAAAATAGTTCATTGTATGGTTGTTGGAACTATTAATCCTATCTATCAAAATGTACCATTTAAAGTTAATAAAAAGATACTAACACTTAAGAAAAACTTATTTACAATCCTCACACGCGGGATGTGGTACATCAACTACAGTTTCACGTACGCTACAGCTGCTGTGCATGACTATACTCTTAATATTCCGCCATCTCTATACACAATCGAGAGATCTAATAATTCAATTATTTTTCAAATCTATGAAGTACATCGGCCAATCGAATATCTCCAAGCCGGAACTATACTCTACTTTAAAAATGAAAATGACTTATTCGTACTACCTTCTTTTTTCAATCACGTACATCTCCGCGCTATAAATATCAATGGGGATAGTGTGACTTTCCCAAAAACTAATTTTCAAAATTTCCAAAAAAATTTCCATATTTCTGCGACATCATTCTTCAAAAATCTCAAAATGAGTGATTGCTCGTTCCAACGAAATAATCAAATCTCAGACGTCAACGACAACTCAACAAAAACGCCATTTCTCATGTGGTACTTTTTCTCCGTTAAAAACAACATCCCTCATATGGTCAACAATAAAAACTTGACTTTCACTACTATTAGTAATAATTCTAAAACTAGTATATTTATAGTAAATCCAGCCGCATCGCTTCTCAGCCAGGAATCAAAAGAAATTATGTTCGAAGCGAAGGTCAATTTCCTCCCTGTTAATTTGCGTGTTCAAACAGTTATTATAGCGAACATTAGTAAGCTTGGTTCTCCAAATGCCATGTTTGTAGTTATTAATAATATGGCTACAAAACTATTATATTATAATAACTCACTCTATATTCGTGCTGCGTTTGACAAACAAAACTATGACTTTGCCAATGCGATCATTTTGAGTTATGTCGCAAACAGTGGAGACATATTAATAGTTTTAAATACTAAACTTATACCATTAGAAAATAATACTAAAAATTGTGACAACACTTATGACTGCGAAAATACGGAGTGCACAGTCGACAACACGTCACTCGATGTCGGAACGAGAAAGTGGATAAGAGGATGCGAACCACAATGCGGAGTGTGTAGAGATGGATTTCTATGTAACACTATGGGAATGTGTCAGAAAGAAACTAACTTAAATTTTAGAAATGCGGGTTACATTAAAATGGTTGTGTTATTAATATGTATTGTCGGTCTATTTCTTATTTGATTGATTGTGTTGTAGTTGATTAATAGTTTAGTAAACTATAATTGTTTTTTTTTTTTTTATAATAACTACAGATGTGGCACTAAAGTTTCGACAAGTACTAAGGTTTCTATTTATTATTTAATTACTATTTGAATAATAATGAACAAATAAATTAATACCTTCATTTTCACCCCTGTAGAAAGTCTTTTAAATATTTATCAATGTTTTTCATAAACCAATTTCTTGCTCAGTTATCAATAAAATTATTTTTTCATTAAAATAATGGTATTTGTTAAATTAAATTGCCACAAAATTTGTTTTTTTTGTTAATTTTGAAACCCAAAATTGTGCCGACCCATGTTTTATTTGTTTAAAATACTTAAATATAATTTAGTTTTATAATAAAACATGGACTCTACAGATAGAAGAATTATTGGTTGTCATAAAAAAGTGGTTGTCATGAAAATAATGTTATTAAAAACCAAAAAATCGATTTTTTTTCAAAAATTCTTCCAGTGTATTGAGTAAGTCGATTACCAAATGAAATAATAAATATTAACTAATTTGTTTTATGCTATTATTTAAGGCATTAAACAAACGTTAATAATGTTAACATTTTAAACTTTTAACAATAATAAAAATTATCTATTTGAAAAAGACTTATTAAATGACGTATATTTGTGTTTTTTGGTGAACCTTGCTACAGTAGGAGATATGGACAATGAAAACAATAATCAGAACAAAACGTTTGGTTAATTTGAACACGATAACAGTTTTTATAACGAAATGCCATATTTGTAATATAACGTCATATTACACGTTGTTTATCAACGAATGCCTAATGATTAATTATTCGCTTTCAACGTTATAAATATACAAACCTGATAATTGTGAACATTGTTTGTTTGATTTACACATCCTCAACTTATTCATAATAAATTACACATCCCCAATATCAGTTCATTTTAATCATGATGACAAGGTACAATCAATTTTGATTTTGAAAATGAGTAAAATATTTTTGTGGTTTTTCTGTTTTTTAATAAAAAACAAAAAATTTTAAATGTTTCATCCTTTTGACAACCACTTTCTGAAAATACAATCCAAACTACCACGGCTTTCCCGTAAATTTACTTGTTCAACAACCAACAATTTATAATCATTAAAAATAAATATATAAAAATACTTTTTTAAACTCGTGACAACTACTTTTTCTTGCATCTGTATATGTTTTTATTTTAAGAAAAACAATAGCCGAGAATAGCTGATGATGTGGCAACCTTTTTTCCCGAAATTTAGGCCAAAGCATTTATAGCTCACCTTGGTTGAATCGACTAAAATTGACCAATAATTTGTTTGATAACTTGAAATTTGACTTTCTTTTACAATGCTAATCTATTTTTATAATAGTTATTGATTAAAGTTTTAAAAATATTTATTTTACTTTTTCAATTATTTGGTTGTTGACTATTTTTTTGTCAAATGTAATATAATAGCTGTTCGGCGACTTTACAGTCCCCTTGAAAATCGCCGACTTTTTAGTGGTCTTAAAAATATTTGAACTAAATATTTAGTTAAATAACTATTTAAAATACCATTTATCACGTAAAAGATATTGAAAAAATGAACCATATAAATTTAATATAATTATTATTAAAAAAAGAAATGAAAAAATACCGTCCCAATTATATCTTCTCAAATCATTTTTTAAATTATATTTATATGATTATAATATAACAAATAATAACAACTATTGTGTTTTTACACATTTTTGAGACTATAATAAATATGGTATAATTTATTAATGTTAATAGTTATTTAGTTCTAAAAAAAGTAGGCGGTTTTTTGACTCAAAAAGTCGCCGAACAGCCATTAAAACAATTGTTTTTATTTTCGAATTAAATATTACAAAAACACTCTTAATATAGCATTACATTAATTTGATAATTATAATGATTTTATCATAACCATTATTTGAAACATAAAAAACACCATCTTAAAATAAAATATGACTCTCCAAATTCTCAATGTGTCTTTGCTCTTGTTTTTTACGAGATGTTTGAGTTTGAAATGGTGCGGCAACGGAAGTCAAGTGGAGTGTGTTGACGATAACTACTTTTGTGATGATCTTTCATACAACAATTATTTTTTTTTCAAAACCCACAATAAAAAATACAAAACAATTTATTGCAATAAAGATGCAGTTTTATATGTAGAAATTACAACAAAAATTTTTACTTATTTGATATTTTCAAACCAACAATCTACTTTCGATTTTCCGTTAACAACACAACAAACTAAAGGTCTCGTGAAATCTGCTTGTAACGTAGCCAATTGCTTCACTTGTATTTCATGGAACGATTATTTCTGCCTAAATTGTAATATTAATTTTTATATGATTATTGGTGTTTGTTATTCATGTGAAGGATGCAATAACACAGATTGTGGAACTTCCACAACAACAAATATAATGTGTACAGATTGCATAGATGGATATGTTTATAGTAATCCCAATTGTTTAAAATGCAACGATAAATGTAAAACATGCAATCCCAGCAACACAAATTACTGCACTTCGTGTTATTATGGTCAAAGTGTAACAAACAACAATTGTACATATTGTATTGGATGTGCAAATCATTGCATTAATGGGTTTAAATGCGCATCATGTGATGGTAATCAATATATTGATTCAGATGGGTTCTGTACAAAGAATTGTGATGTGTCTTGTAATGGCTGTACTGGTAGTGGAGCAAACAATTGTGTAAACTGTGCAGATAATTACTACAAATTAAATAATATTTGTGTGAAGTGTGGATCTCCGGATGTGTGTACGACTTGTTCAAGTTCTGTGTGTACAAGTTGTCAGAGTGGATATTACCTATCAAATGGCATATGTAATTATTGTGGAAATCATTGTGTAAATAGTACATGTCAAGTTAATACTGGGTGTAGACAGTGTATAAGTGATTCGTTCTATTTAGACGGTAATAGAAACTGTCAACGTTGCATTTCGCCGTGTTTGACTTGTTCAAATTCAACTGTTTGCAATACTTGTATTTCTGATTACTATTATCTCAATTCAAACAACGAATGCATACAATGTGTAAGCCCGTGTTTGCAATGTTCTTCACAAACCAATTGTATAAGTTGTATTAGCGCGTATTATTGGCTTGACACATCAACAAATAAATGCAAACATTGTTCATCGCCATGTGACACGTGCACTGGACCAAGTAATGGTACTTGTATTACATGTGTTGATCATCATTATTTTGATGCAACACAGAAGACTTGCACATATTGCGGAGATGGTTGTATTGCGGGTTGTGATTATACGACAAAATGCACAAAATGTCAATTGGGGACTTATTTAGATGGTGGTATATGCTACAATTGTAGCACAATCAAAAACTGTAACACGTGTGAAACTGGTAGAAAATATTGTACCAGGTGTGAACCCGGATTTGAATTGTTCAATGGGACTTGTCTGTGCCACAGTGGAACATATCAAAACTCAACAGAAGGAACGTGTCAAATGTGTTACTTGGGACAACAAAATTGCCACTTGTGTTCAACTACAAATGATTATAAAGCTCATTGCACTGATTGTTATCCATCTTTCAACTTGGAAACAAGTCAAGGAACGTGTTTAAAATGTTTACCATATACATATTACGATAATAACTCAAAAAATTGTCAACCCAATGATATCAATTGTGTCAAAAATGCAAAACAAAATGTTTGTGTTGCATGCAACAATAATACAAGTTTTTTGAAAGACGACAAATGTGTTGCAATCACCAACAACTGTACAACCAACACACTTTCGAATTGTGAAGTATGCGATTTTGGCATTTCAATTGGTACTTCATGTTTTTTACAAAACGAGTATTGCAAATACAACATACAACTCAATGAAAAACAAGAGAGGTGTTTACAATGTGAAGATAGCAACATTCTCAACACATACAACACTTGTACTTTAAATGAAAACAATATTAATAAGATAATACGAAACAATTTCACATTTATATGTGAAAATGGATATTTCAAGAATCAAACGAATAGCTGTGAAAGCTGTTCGACACACAACGCTGAAATCTGTTCTTCAAATTTGACAGATAATTTCAGTGTGTTTTCGTGTCAAGGTGGATATGTGATAAACATTGAAAACGACACGTGTACAAGTGACACCAATTGTAACACAATCAATGGAAGTGACTGCACCACCTGTGACAAATCCAAGACTTTCAAACGAACAAAGAACAGATGTGTTGATTGCAACGACAACAATTCACACACAAATTGTGAAGTATTTACAGACACGTGTAAATGAATTCAATGCACAAATGATACGCTTTTAGTCAATGGAATTTGTGTGTTGAAAACTGCAGTGAATTGCCACAAGACAAATGGGTACACCTGCATCCAATGCAACGAAAAATACACACGAAACAACCAAGACGACCTCTGTGTAACATCAGAACAATTTGTGAGATATTCAATGCACACAGTTGTCAACAGTACTCAAAGTACTGTTTTTGAGTGTGAAACAACACATTTTTTGAGTGATGGAAATTGTGAAAGTGTTATTGGTACAAACATAAACGACCAACCAATTCAAAATTACAAACAAGATGTGGATAATACCAAATATTTGAGGAAAGAAATTGATAACAACACAAATTGCAGTTATCAAAACGAGAAAGGGTGTCTTTCATGCAACGATGGATATTACTTAGAAAACAACAAATGTGTTAAATGCGCCAACAACTGCACGACTTGTTTTAATTCAACACTTTGTCTAACATGCAACGAATCAAATAATTGGTTACTCAATAACAAGGGCGAGTGCATTGAAACCATTTTAACAATCAGTTGCCAACAACCAATGGGCAATGGTGTTGGTTGTGCAATATGTAAAAATGGGTATTACTATGAGCAAAAGTTTTGTTATGAATGTGATAAATCGTGTGCAATTTGTAAAAACTCGATTTCATGTTCGTTGTGTGCAGACACATATTTTTACTATAAAAAAGACAGTGACTTGTGTATCACCTATGACAAGTTAATTGGGTGCAAAAACAAGACGTCACATGGCTGTGATGTGTGTCAAATGGGGTATTATATGACAGATCCGTATTGTTCCAAATGTGCAGAGAACTGTCTTTCATGCACTTCACTGAAAATGTGTGATATGTGTAATATCACTGATTACGTCTTGAAAGATGGAATTTGCTTGTATTACACTGAAATTGAATTTTGCACTTCTGCTCACAATGGATACTGCACATCATGTAAAGGAATGAGAAAACCGTCAGATGATGGATTGTCATGTGTGGAAGACAAATTGATCACATTGAAACGAATTGGTATACCAATCATAGTCGTTGCAATTGTAATTATCATCATATCAACAACAACGACTTACATTCTCTTTAATGTGTATAACAACAACAAAAATAAAAAGAAGACCAAAAATGTGTGTGTTTTTCAAATGAAAAAATCAAACATCAAATTTGTCAAAATATCGAAAGAAATATCAACAAACAAAACAGAACTGATTTTTGAAAGTAGTAATGAGGGTGGAAAGATACCGGTAAATGAATTTAGTCGTGAGTTGTTGTGTCTTGGCAACAACACAACACATCATATAAAAATGCAGTTGAAAATGAAAGAAGGGAATGATGTTTATGAAATCCAAGCCAATCCCCCTCTTGTGACATTGAAATCAAATTATGCTTGCGAATTTGAAATTTCTATAAAGCCAAATTTCACATCAAATATTGAAGACAAAATAGTGTGTGTGACTTTAAACATCACTAAAGGGACAGAAGATGTCATTGAAATACCAATCAGAGCAACAACTGTCATGTCATATCGTCTTGATTATCACGAATTGATAGAAGATAAGAAAATTGGTGAAGGCTCTTTTGGAATAGTTTACAAAGGCACTTTTAGAGGAAATGTTGTTTGTATCAAAAAGATGAAAGAACTGTTAATAAACCAAGAATCACAAGAAAATGAATTTGAGAAGGAAGTTGATATGTTGGCTAAATTTAGAAGTGATTACATCGTCCACTTCTATGGAGCAGTCTTCGTGCCAAATAAAGTGTGTATGGTCACCGAATTTGCACAATTTGGCAGTTTACAAGACTTGATGAAACACAAAAAAAGTGATGAAATTAACATGAAACTTCGAGTTAAAATGATACTTGATGCATCAAAAGGAATTCAATATTTACACGACAATGGGATACTCCACAGAGACATCAAACCAGACAACATTTTAGTGTTTTTACTTAATATTAATGATAAAGTAAATGCAAAATTGACTGACTTTGGTTCATCAAGAAATGTCAATTTATTGATGACAAATATGACATTCACAAAAGGTATTGGTACACCAGTGTATATGGCGCCTGAAGTGTTGAAAAAAGAGAAGTACAAAATGTCATCAGATATATATTCGTTTGGAGTCACCATGTTCGAAGTGTTTGGGTGGGAAGAACCCTACGATAAAATGGAATTCAAATTTCCTTGGAAAATCGCTGAATTTGTTATATCTGGAAAACGACTTCCAAAGGAAGAGTCAATAACACAAGACGAATATGTTTTGATATCACAGTGTTGGGATAGTGATATAAAAATACGGCCATCAATCAATGATGTTGTTGAAAAACTGGAGACATTAAATTCATAACAATTAAGTCTTGTTTTGTTTCAAAAATATCTGTATATATAAATTATAATTAAATAAAACTGAAGTGTGTGTGTTTACATTAAAACGTATTAAAACACAATGATTTGTTTATGTTAAATTTTATATGACACTCAAATTGGTTATAATGAATCTAGATTAATAATAATTGGGTTTTGTTTTTTAATAAAATATCAAAAAATAGACAATTATTATTTAACTTTTTTAAATAAATGTTAATTAAGTCTGTTTATTTATTAACGTATTGGGTTTTTACTATTATTTTTAATAACACTATTATTTATTACAATAAAAATACAGTAAAAATTCTATCGGTGTGTGGAGTCATGAAAATAGTTTTCCCAAGGTGTGTAAATTTTATTTCTTTTCTTTTTTAATTTTTGGCAAAAAAACTAAAAAATAATGAAATTTGTAAAACTATCCACAATCAAGAAAAATGACAAAATATATTTTTTTTGTTTTTTGAGAAAAAAAACGCGACACGTGTAAACATAAAATAATATTGTGAATTTTTTAAATTGTTTAGTTGTTTAGAAAAAGAACAACGCATTGTGTTTTTGTATAAACACATGGACTTTTGGTGAGGATTCTTGTCAATTTACAACTCAAGTATGTCTTTGACATTATCCTCGATTGCTGCATTGTCTTCTGTTGAAAACATTGAAAAAAATTTTGCTTGTTCACTGTGTTATTACACAGTAGCAGAAGGTGAGTGTCGATTTTTAGCCTCAAAAGTCATCATCTCGTCCTCCGCCTTGAACTCTTTTGTTTGTGCAACCATCTTGTCCACCTGTTCCTTTGAGAGTCTTCTTCCCTGTTGTCTCGTTTTCAGCCGACACATTCAGAATCCCATTTGCATTTGTGTCAAATGTGACTTCAACTTGTGGGACACCACGTGGTGCTAATAAGATACCAAACAACCCAAACTTGTCAAACGGGTTGCAATGTGATGTCATAGATGCCTCGCCCTCAAAGACTTGGATGAGCACGCCTGGCTGGTTGTCTGCATGTGTCGAAAATATCTGTGACTTCCTTGCTGAAATTGTTAAGTTTTGTGGTATCAATTCTGTCATCACACCAATCACAAGCGTGCTCTTGTGATTGGTGTGTGGAAGTCGGTGCATTTTTATTATTATTTAAAGTTTAATATTTTTTGAGGAGCATTTTCTGCTTTTTTTCTCTTATCTTTTTTGAATTTATTTTTGTTTGATAATTTTTCTCTTTTTAAGTTTTTATTACCAAGTCTTTACTCGTTTAAAATAAAAACAAAATTGCAATTGACATTATTTTAGAAGGTTTTGGTGCCAAATATGTGGAAAATCATTATATTCAATCGGTGTGTGGGCCACTTTTGATTGGTCAAAACCACACACCGATAGAGTCACACACAGATGGAATTTCTACTGTAAAATGGTCTTTCTAAAATACAGTTTGTATTTTATTATTTTTGTTCTTTTTTTAAAGTGTGCTAATAATATCAAAAAACAGAATTTCTAAACAACTGAAAAATTTATAAAGCCAAAACGAATGATAAGTTGGCGTTAAAATTTGAATACAACGAAATAAACGAGTCAACCAAATTATTCAAAATCAATTAAAGTCATTTATGATCGAGCATACATGTTAAATTATCATTTGAGTCATATCGAAGACGACAACAAGTGATATAAAACAAGTCAATGTTTTGAATTCGTTTATTATTAGTCATTAATGACATTGTTATTAATAGTTAATGATTTTTAATTAGCGATATTGAGTATAGTAAAAAATAGTTTAGTGTTTTCGGTCTAGTTATTTTTTCTTTGTTATATTTTTAGTATATTGTTATATAGAAAACAGACTTTGTGTTAAAATGTTAATTTATGATTTATTCATTAAATAATAACATTTTAAATAAACAACATTTTAACAAATTGTTGATATAATAATTCTTAACAATGATTTTGTATAAGTCGTTTTCAAAATTATTATTGACTTTTAGTCTGGTATAATGTACGAATTTATTTGAAAAAAATAAACATTTTATTTATAATAATGAAGCTGATATACAGAATTGTGATTTTTGAAACCACAAATCAAAATATTTGTTTATCATATATTTTTGTATTTTATTATTTATAATATAACACATTAATTTTAATGTAGAATTGGAATTGAATCAGGGTCTATCACGTGACAAAAGTGTTTTTTCTTTGTTATTTGCCACGTCACCAAAGTGGGCTTGAATTTATGTTCACTTAGTTTTTTTAGATCTAGCGGCGAGCTTAAAGCCGACTTTTGTAAATGAAAAAACTTAGAAATAGATAGTTATTTGAATCAATACTAAGCCAATTAATAGGAAAACAAGCCAATGCAATTTTTAAATATCGGTTTATATTTTATTACTGCTGTGATTGCCACAATTAACACAAAAATTGTGACAAATGCAGCACTGTTTTACACATCAACCCGATAGTTACAAATAACATTTTAATAACACAAATAACAATGAAATAACAATCTATTAAATAATGATATTTTTATTATAATATGTAATAAAATAAACCTATTCAACTTATAATAAAGCTAAAAACCAATAACTAATAATTAAAAATGCCATAAAAAACTAATAATAATAAATAAAGGTTTATTTTCATATTTATATTTAACGTTACTAACTAAATATTTATATTTTAAAACTATATTAAATAATAACAAAACAAACTCAAAAACTAAAAAATATTTGTTAATTATTAAATATACTATATAACATATAATAACAATACTATTGTTTTAAACTATAGAAATCTAAATAATGTATTAATAATTAATTAAATTGTTTAGTACATGATTTATATTTATAACTATAAACTTATAGTTTAAATAATTATATATTTATTATTATTGATATGAAATGAACAATTAATTATTAGGATAAATATGTCTACAAAATCGGGCTTTTCATTTATAAAAGTTGATTTTTCAAAAACAGTTATAGGACAAAAAAATAAATTTACTCTTAATAAAAATAATCAACCAAATATATAACTTAAAATATCAATAAAAATAGTTAAAAGACACACATTTTGAAATATAGTTTATTTACCCGAAAATGATAGGTAATAAATACATCGTTTATCGGGATAGATAACATTTCAATAACACAAATACAAATACAAAAAAATAACAATTTTTAATACAAAATTTCTAAAACATTGACATATTTTTAAAATACCATTTGAATTTCAAAATAGAATTAATATTAAAGACCTTTTAAAAACAACCCAAATATAACAAATCACAACAAATTAAAACCATCCAACGATGACAAATAAATCAAAAGAGGTTCAAAATTTACAATAATAATTGTCAAAACGTGATACACACAACACAAATTATAACAAAATTAACTTTGCCATCAAACAAAACAAAGTTAACAATCATATTTTTTTCACGCCAAATAATTAAAAACGTTCGTGAGTAGAATTAATTCAGTCTTTTTTAACATCAATTTTGTATAGATTTGAACTGTTTTGGTTTTTTGATTGCAACAAACCGATTTGACAAAAAATACAAAAACATCAATTAATATAGTTTAGTTTATAGTAAAATTTACCAAAAATAAAACTATATATTTTATAAAAAATTATAACACTTTCACTAATTTAATTGTATTATAAAATTATACTATTATAAATATAAACAATTAAATAATAAACTAATACATTAAAAATGATTTAACTTCATGATACAAGTTTATTAATTCATTGGGTATAGTTGTTTTGCCAGGCTTGTTGTCTTTTGTATGAATTCATTCTTGCATTTCCCCGTTTGTCTTCGAGAATCGATTCACCATTATCCAATTAATGCTGTCTAGGAACCTTTCTCCCTTCGATCCTTGAATGTTTTTTCTTCTAAATATCTGCTACTTCCACCAAGATCTGTACTCAAGTCTGTTTCAATAGAAATTACTTCTCTACCTTTATCACTCAAGTATTCTTGACACCATGCATTTCCTTACTCCTCATGTGCCTCAGTTTCAACAAGGATACAGTATCACTCTCTCTCATTAAAATACTTTCCATTTTCTGGGCTCATCCATTCGATAAGTGAGTTGTTACACACTCCTTAGCGATTTCCAACTTCCATGGCCATCAACCTGGATTCAATGTGAATGAACCCTTTTATAGTTCTCCTCATGCAAGACTTGGATACTTTATCTGTATGTTCGGTTCATCCCGCATCGCCAGTTTTGCTTACCAGACTTGGACGATTTGAAGTCCCATATGCTCACTCCTAATAAATGTTTATCGTTTAGAATATCTCGACTATTCATAGTTTGTTAAAATGTTGAAAAGTCAAGCTCTCCATTACATCCAATCATTATCTTTACCAATCGTCACTACTTTCTCACTTCAACCTTCCTAAGGGAATATTCAGGTGGAACCAGCTACTAGATAGTTCGATTAGTCTTTCGCCCTTATACTCATATATTGCAAGTAATTTGCACGTTAACACTCCTTAGTCCTTCTACCAAAGTTTCCTTCGGCTTTAAACACCACAAGCATAGTTCACCATCTTTCGGGTCCCAACAGTTTAACTCCATCCTTTTCTAGGTCACTCCTGCTATATGTATAGTCCTTCGTTTTCGCTTCATATCTGGGCTTTCTTCCCTTCCTCTCCTCGTGGGGAAACTGAAAACGTTTCTCCAAGAGGCATAATTATTTCAATTATTAATCTTTGCCAAATATTTTTACAGATCATCTATTTATATTATGTTTTTTCATTGTATTTTTAGTTTGTTTCATTTTATATTTTTAAAATGGATTTTTTTCAATGTAAAATAAAATAAATATTTTGGTCAAAAAAATAAGAAGCAAATATTGTTTATATTTTTATCAAAATGAAAAACATATTTTTTGAAACACAAAGTTAATATTTAATACACAAAACAAAGATTGTTTTTAACACTTAAAATAAACTTAGTTTTTAATATACAAATT